CATATGCTCACCACTCGTGCGATGATAATACGGGCCACACATTAGCCCTCACTATACGCTGACAATTGAACACCAATTATATGGTAATCAGTGTCTCTGAAGACATCATAACAGTATAAGTGGTGGTCATGAAGAAGCTGTTCCAGCGGTTGGACAACCGTAGCGACGGTCGCGAGGCTAACGGCGCGCCTGCGGGCAGTCACCCGAGCGGTGGTACCACTGGTGGCACCAGTTATGCGGGGAAAGTGTTTTCGGTCAACAGATACGAGTCGGTGACCGTCGAGGAGACCATAGCGGAGGGCGGCTTCGCACTGGTCTTCCTGGTGCGGGCGGCCAATGGGCACCGGTATGCCCTGAAGCGCATGTTCGTCAACAACGACTACGACCTCAATGTCTGCAAACGCGAGATCCAGATCGCGGCCAACCTCTCCCCCCACAAGAATATCGTCGCTTTAGTCGACTCGCAGATCAACTACTGCGGCGATGGCGTCCACGAGGTGTTGATGCTTATGAACCTCTGCAGAGGCCATGTCCTGCAGCTGATGAACGAGCGGATCACTCAGGGCTTCACCGAAGCCGAAGTGTTGCGCATCTTCTGCGACATTTGCGAAGCCGTCGCTCGTCTTCATCACAATCAGCCGCCGATCATTCACAGGGATCTCAAGGTCTTCACAAGTGTTACCACTCTTTTCATGCTATCATACTATGGATTAGATTATGATTTCAGGGATAATTAGTGCCATTTGTAGCCATAGTTAGCGCTTAATAGCATTTAAGTGACCTTTTTATAGCTGCGCTTAATATAGAGTTAATTGAACTCAAAATGACTTAATTTTGTTGTTTTTCTAAACGTTAGACTCATTTCTCAACACAATTAGTAGTTTCCATATAAATATTGTGAGAAATGTTATAATGTTATGATTGCTATTAATTTCAAATAGTCTCTCAAATAATGTATGTTTTTAATGAGTTTTTCTTGTTTTTTATGTTATGTTTAAATGGTTTTCCAAAACTAATTCATTTGTTTTCTCGTTTGCATTCATACGGACCGACAGATCGAGAATATACTGATATCGGAGAGCGGGTGCTATCAGTTGTGTGACTTCGGGTCGGCGACCGTCAAAGTGTTGAGGAGTAGCGACACTCTGTCGGTGCTGGACATCGAGGAGGAGATCAAGAAGTACACGACATTGTCATACCGGGCGCCGGAGATGATCGACCTGTACGCTGGCCGCCCCATAACGACCAAAGCGGACATCTGGGCGCTCGGGTGTCTCCTCTATAAGCTGTGCTTCTTTCAGTTGCCGTTCGGCGAGTCGACGCTCGCCATACAAAACGCTCAGTTAGTCATACCCTCGGCCTCCAAGTATTCACACAAACTGCACGCTTTGATTAAACTGATGCTCGAGCCGGACATCGACGCCCGGCCCGACATATTCGTCGTCTCCACTCTCGCCTTTCAACTCATGGCCAAAGAGTCGCCCGTCGTTAACGTCAACAACAGTACAGTTCCCAAGTGGTCGGCGCTGTCGCTGCCGATGACGGAGGCCGAGGCGCGCGACGCCAAACGTAATGCCAAACAGACTACAAATGTGATTAATAGTAGAGAAGTGCCTCCTTTCACACCCATCGGCACCACCAATACTCCCGGTGCGGTCGAGGGCACGAGCGTTGCCCCGCGACAGAGACCCAAAGGCGGCACAAGTGGTCAGTACAGAGCTCTTTATGTTTACCATTATATCTATATTTACTCTAAAATACACGTAAATATAATTGAATTAAATATAAATAAATACCAAATACTAAGAAATATTTTTATTTTGCATTAATAAAACATTTTCACATTTTTTTAAACACTTGACAAAATTTTTATTACACGATAAACCCAATGATTCAACTGTACTTGATACTGTAGATAAAACCATATTTAACTCAAATTAATTAACATTCAATTACCAAAGTGTCATTACTTTTTTATAGTGACTTTAAAATGCATTTGAGAAAACAATTTAGATTATTACATAACAATTTGCATCATATGTTTTATTTATAACTTTTAATTTAAATAAATCTTTATTTATACTTTTTAAATATATTTGTGTTCAATATGAGTGAATTGTTAATGTTTAGGTCTGTAGTGAATTAAAATCCATAACATTATTAACAGTAGAGAAAAGCTAGTGTTTTATTTTTTATTAAATTTTGTTAAAAGCCATTTGAGTATTTCATGTTATCTTTAACTTATTATTTGTTTTAAAAATCAATTTTATGTTGAGTTTATTTTTAACATTGAATTTGCAATAAATACGTGAATCGTATTTGACACACAAAATTCAATATTTAAATTCAATGATAAAAGATTTGTACAAGTAATAATTGATTGCTTTACAAGTTTATGGACTTTAAGTCGTTTTCAACTCTTTTATTACAATAAATAGTGACTATTGAGTAGTCTTTGCCTTTAAGTTTAAGTAATAAACGTTTTAACGGTTTATAAAATCTAAAATTATCACAATTTATTACTCATTGTAAAAATGTGTAAATAATTGTCTAAATTTGTTATCTAAATATTAGGTCAGTTATCGATACAAGTATTATCTGCCGGCGCTATGAACCGAGCGACGACACCAGTTGAACAGTCGACTAGCAAACTAATACCAAATCAGTCAATCAGTACATCGCAAAGCTTTACATCAGGCACTCAGTTGTTGGCCTCGCAGTCCCAGTCCCTGCCCATAACAGCGCCGACATCTAATCTGGTCTCCACTTCGAGTAACATTCGCCAACAAACTGTTGTCGCAACGACTGACACCACAATTACTAGTAATAATCCATTCATTATAGTTGGGACAGCGCCTGGAGTTCGGCGAACGCAGACGCCTCCCGGAGCCACATCGCCAACAGACGGTATGTTAGGA